AGTGTAAAAATAGCATTATCGATATATCTTAAATTATATTTGAGTAAATAAAATAAGTAAAAACATTTACATTTGTTCATGTTAAAATACGAATAAAATGCGCAAGATAAAAAAAAATAAATATACAAAATATGTACAAATAAAAGAAAAAAAGATGATCACTTTAATGACAAATACACTAAAAAAAATGTGGATATGCTTTGTTAAATTTGTTTTTTTATTATAATTCTTACTAAAAAAAAAATTAATTTTTTTTTTTTTGGTAATGATTTTTCTCATTGTTCCTTTATTAAAAAAAAATATATCTCAAGCCATAAATATTTTCTTTTGGGAACGATAATGTAGAATATTTTTTTTATGAGAGATTAAAAGTGTAAGGCAAAATGTGACATACATGAGATATTGTGTAAATAAGAACAAAAATATTTAAATGATATAATTAATATTTTATATTAATTAATAAAATTGAATAAATTTCTTAATGTTTTAATTTAATAAAAATAAAATAAGTATAATTTTTTATATATATTCTCTATTAATTTATTCCTTACTAACACGGTCATTGAACAGGTGTTTTATTAAATGGATATTCGGTGACTTTGCTAGAGTATGAACAAACAAATTAATAAAGAGCATGTAGAGTTGCCTCTAAAGTTTTTATGTATTTATATATATTTTTAAATGCTTTGAACTAGTGATTCTTAATTATATAATCTACTTCATTTAGCATTCTTTAATTTTAATAGGCATTTATTTACTTTAATAAATAAATCCTTATTTTTATTAAAAATTTAAATCCTTATTGAACACTAATAATTAATTAAATGTATATTACTTATTTCTTTGTTATAATTTATGTTCAGCAATTTAAATATATTACTGTTTAACTAACAAATATAAACAATTAGTAAAAATACAAATTAATTATAAGAATATTAATTACGTGAAAATTTTATTGTCATATATATATAAAATTTTCTCTCACAAATTAACAATATAAATATAATACAAATTAAACTCTTTTATTAAAACATTATTATTTTTTTAAGATCATATTTTTATTGGTGCTAAATCTTACTCTCGATTTTAATTTTACCAATTTTTTTCTTTTCTTAAAAAAAATCCTTCTCTGAATAAATCATTCCAAAAAAAAAAAATAAATATATTTTTTTTTTTTTTTATCTCCATTTTTCAAAAGAAAAATATCTCAAAAAAAAATTCCAATAATTTTTTTTTTTTTTTTTTAGTTAGCACAACTTACTACGTATTCTTCAAATAGGTAGTCCTTTTTATAACCAAAAAGGTTAATGAAGTATTTTATTAACCATTAATGGACGAATTAGGATATTCCATCACAAAAAGAAAAGATCAACATATATATATCATGCAAGTTAAACCCGAACTAAGGGAGGATAAATTAGAGAATTTGAATAAAGAAATTATTCAGAATTTTATTGAAAGATCTGACTTAAAAGATCATAAAAATAATGAAGAATGGGAAAAAGTATTAAGAAATAATACAATACTCTGGGGAAATAAAATCATGGAACCCAACAACAAATACAAAGTTTCTATTCAGGTACAAGGGAAATCTCGACGTTATAACCCTAGACCATTGAGTGAAGAAATGTTATCAGAATAACATCGAAAATAGATGAAATGATAAAATTAAAAGTAATAAGTAAGGTAATTAATGCAGATTGGACTTCACCAATAGTAATGGTTCGGAAGAAAACAGGACAAATGGAGAATAACGTTAGACTATCGTTATGTAAATAAAATTATACTAGATGATTTATATGTCATCCCACACTTTAAACACATATTTCAAACGTTTTATGGAACAAAATGGTTTTCAAAAATAGACCTTAAAAATGGATTTTGAAATATCGCATTGGAGGAAAATAGTAATCCATATACTGGATTTATAGTTCCGAAGAGGGGAACATTTGTATTTAATGTATTGCCATTCGGTCTAAAAACATGTCCTACACAATTTCAAAGAATAATGGAAGATATTTTTATGGAATTAATTCAAGAGAATTATGTAGTTGTGTACATTCATGACATCATCATTCTTACAAAAACATTATTTGAGCACTTAGAAGTATTATAAAGAGTATTTGAATTAGTCTGTAATAATAATTTAAGAATAAATAAAGAAAAGTGTGAACTATTTAAAACGTCTATCATTTATATTAGGCAAGAGATAGATCAAAATGGTTTAAGACCTTCATAAGATAAGGTGAAAACAGTTATTAAGGCAGAACGGCCTAAATCTAAAAAGCAATTGAGATCATTCTTAGGAGCTACTAATTATTACAGGAATTACATGAAGAACTTTTAAGAGTGAACTTCTAAACTAGTTCCATTGTTAACTAAGAAACAGTAATTTGAATGGAAAGAAGGGTATTCAAAGGCTTTGGAGCAAATCAAGAATAAAATGACGGAAGTTACTTATCTTCCATTTCCAGAATTAGGAAAAACCCTATACTATTTAAACTGACGCATTAGATTATGCTATAGGAGCTGTATTGACTCAAATTAATAAAGACACAGATCAAACTAAATCCATTCATTACACATCGAAGAAATTAAATGAAGTACAACAAAGATGTACTACGGTTGAAAAAGAATTATTGGCTATAGTAGTAGCATGCGAAACATTCTATTATTATATTAAAGGATCTAAGACCTTAATTAAAACATATTGTAAAGGTATTATTGGAATGGATTCAATTAATACTGGAAAATTATATCGATGGAAGTTAAGACTATCTGAATTTAACTTAGAATTTGAACATATTGAAGGAGTTCAAAATAGTTTAGCTCATTGGATCACTAGATCAATAGAAGATGAAACAGATCTTCCTAATTATATGACATTATATTGTAGTAAACCTCAAGGAGTATATGAAGATTTATACGTCATACCATATTACGAGGAAATAGTAAATGCATCAAGAAAAGATAAAGATAACATACAAAGAGACGTAGTATGGAAGTATGATTTCCCAGTTCACTATAGAACAGAGAATTATATATATCAGAAAAATATAGAAATCATTTAATGTATTGGTTTCATAGTAGTAAATTCGCAAGACATAATGGAGTAAATAAAACACTAAAGAAAATACAAAGACATTTTTGGTGGCCCAATAATAGTAAAGATATTGAGGAATACGTCACAAATTGTCTGATTTGTCAAATAATGCGTAATAGGAAATTTAAACCTGATAATAACGAAGCTTTATCAAAACGGAATGTAATTTGATATGTTTTCACTAGATATTATAGGACCCAAAAGATGGAACGGTATAGAATACTTTATACAAGCATCAATAGATCATCATTCAAGTTTTATGGAGACTAATAGAACTAATAAAATATCTAATTCTATGGACGCAATTAACATTATAATGAAAGCATGGATACCCATATTTGAATACCCTAGAAGTATTTTAACAGATCGCGATTCAATTTATACTATTCAAGAATTTCATCACTATATTACAAAAGAATTACAGGTTAAATTGTATCATACGAGCGCATATTATCCACAAGGAAACGGTATAATTGAAAGCTCTCATAAAAGCTTAGATTATATAATTAAGATTTTATATGAAGAAAAAGATCTACCTTTTGAAGAAATAATACAAAATGCAGTACTAATATATAATAATACAATTCATGGAGAGATAGGAAAAACACCCTATTTTGCTATGTTTGGAATGGATTGTATCTGTCCAGGGTTTACAAAATTATTACCAGAAAGAACTTCTGAAATGAGGATTATATATTTAAACGATAGATGGAATAACATACATGAAGATGTTAATGCAATCAAAAGAAAACCTATAATTGAGAATAAAAATATTAAGGTTGGACATATCTCATACGAATTATCGGAAAAAGAAAGGAATCAAATGAAACACTATAGTGGGAATATACAATATAAACCACATTGGTCATTTCCTTATAGAGTAACTAAAATTGAAAGCGAAATTTTAAAAGCATTACATATATATTATAAAGGTAGAGAAGTACAAATTCCAATGTCAAAAATAAAATTGTTGAGTAACAAAATCAGGGAAATATATGAAAAGCAACTGGAGAATTTAATACAAGTTACGAACACTAATAAAAGGAAACTAAATCTTACGCATGATTTAAAGCTTAAAGATTACCTAGATATTCATAAACGGAATAGCATTATAACATATGACATCAACAATAATCAGGACATGAAAATTGAAAAAAGACTACAAAAAGGACTTGATGTAATAAAACAAGCCAAAAATAACAAACTTTAAGTAATAACCATTACTTTCCCATGGTGGTGGAGTATGGTTAATAAAAGGCTTTATTAACCTTTTTGCAAAAAAAATGAACTAGTTATATGAAGAATACGTAGTTGGTAACGCACACACAAAAAAAAAAAAAAAAAATGATAATTTTTTTTGTTTGTATTTTTATAAAAAAAAAAATACAAAGACGTCAGGAAAAAAAAAAATTGATAAAAAAAAAAAAAAAAAAAAATTTTTTTTTTTGGAATGAAATATGATTTTAATGAATTTTGTAAGAGAAAATTTTCTACATATAATAATAAAATTTTCATGTAATTAATATTTATATAATTTTTTTGTATTGTCAATAATTGTTTATGTTTGTTAATTCAACAGCAATATATATTAATTGATGAATGTAACTTATAACAAAGAAACAAGTAATTTACATTTAATTAATTATTAGTGTTCAATAAGGATTTAAATTTTTAATGGAAATAAGGATTTTTATCAAAGTAAATAAATGCCTATTGAAATTAAAGAATGCTCAATCAAGAAGATCACATAATTAAGGATCAGTCGTTCAAAGCATTTAAAAATATATATAAATACATCAAAACCGTAGAGGCAACTCTACATGCTCTTTATTAATTTGTTTGTTAAGTACTATAGCAAAGTCACCGAACACCCAATTAATAAAACATAAAGCAACAATTATGGTTCTTTAGACCTCATCTTTATTTTCTAAAAAAAAAAAAAAAAGTGTAGAATTTATTTAATAAACATGATATGAACTTATATATTTTTTTTGTATTTTTTCTTTTATTAAATTTATAAAATACAAAAAAAAAAAAAAAAATAGAGAATAAAAAAATGTATATGTGTATATATACATAATAAGATTCATGTATTTCAAAATTTCATAATTAGCTTACTTTAGATTTATTCTTCATAATGGTTTTATATATATAGCATCCTATAAAAAAGAATATAATTAGGAAAGGAATAAAAGTCATTGCAACAAGAGAAGACATATTTAAATTGTTATCATAATCTAAATTCGTAGTTCTCGTTTGTTTCACTATCGATCTTTCTGAATATGGTATTATATTCTTCACAATACTAATATCTAACTTTTTGCATGGAGTTAATTCAAGTGGCCTCTCATATTCGCATAAATAAGGAGTACAATTGATTTTCAAACCCTGATTTAGGCAAATATTTGGGAGATATATAAATTTTTCCTTTCCTTCATAAGGTTTCGAATGTTTCTGTATGTGAAACAATTTTCCAGTAAATTTAGCATCCACGCATGATGTATAATCATTTTTATCCTTTGTGCATATGGAATATCTGCAAATATTTTCATGAACATTTGCTTCTTTTATATAATGACAAGCATCCCTACTAAAAAATATATCATTATAATCTAATATACGACTTACATGTCTAGTATTCATTAAATTTTTTAGTCTAATTCTATAATTTTCTCTTCCTTTTTTATCGATAATATCAATAGAATTAAAAGAAAGGGTTCTTCCCACATAATCTCTGTTAATTTTTTCACAAAATATTAATTTTTGGTTTTTATCTCGAAGACGGCATAAAAATGGTTCAAATAAATGTCTATCATTATAAGGATATATTTCATATAAAAACACAATTTCATTCTCATCATTTGAAAGAAAAGTTACTATAGATTGCTTGCCATCACGTGGAATATAATGATCATATGTAAATATATTTTTTGCAAGATTATTTGGAATATCGCTAGAAGGATATTTTACATTAATTGCTACAAATGCAAGATCGCAATGATGCGTTTTGAACCTACCCCCACGTATCATACATGCAATCACATTGCATTTGGTAAAGTCTTCTTCAGAATTTGGACATCCCTCATTATATAGAAGTGCCATTTTTAAAACTCATATAAAGTGTAAATATTTTACTTCTTATTATTTATAGTTTTTTAAATAATTTCCTTAATATTTTTTTTGTATAAGATTTATATTTTTAAATTCTGAATATTATTAATTTATTTATTTAATTTTATTTTCTACAAAAAATATCATTAATAACAAAATCTAAAATATTTATAAATAACTTTAATTAAATTTTATATTCAAATATTTTATTTACATATTCATATTTAATTATATTACTTTCTTATTTTAAAAGAATATTTTATATTAAAATATTTTTACTTTACAAATTAACTTTTTTAGGTACATGTTAATGATCTCGTCTTTCATTAAACGCAAAAATAATTAAAATGTTAAATTTTTTTTTTTTTTTTTTGTAAAATTAGTATATAATAATGTTCTTATTTAAAAATGCTTTTAATAAAGAGGCAATTTTTACTTTAATGAATTAAGAAAAAGATAATTTTTTTAATTATATTGAAAAGAATGATTGATTCTTTTATGAATTTTCAAGAAAATAGAATTATGAATAATTCTAAGATGTTATTAATTGTAAAATTATAATATAAAATTACTATTATGCAATATTAATTATGATAGAGAAAATAAAATTATAAAAAAGAATTATATATTTCATGGTAATTTTGTACTAGTATCTATATGTAATTGATGATGTTAAAATAATATTACGTTATAATAAATTGCTTTAGGTTAATGAAGTAACAGAAATTAAAAAGTCCATATGCAATAGTGTTTACATCATTTTATAATAATAAATAGAATATCTAAGAAAAAAACAAAATGCACTATAGTGATATAAATACGTAATACACAAATGTACATAATATAAGCTGAAATAATTGTAATTGTAATAACTATATAAAAGACATTTAATGCATTTTAATTAAATCATGAATTTATATATTCGTTAAATTTTGGTAAATAAAAAAGCAAAATTAAAAATAAAACAGAATTTGTATATATATCAACATGTTTTATTATAAAAAAATATTTATTATGAAAAAAGATAAATACTTATATGGAACATATATATTTATGAATTAAGTTACAATTATTATCAACGAAACTAAATAATATTTATATATATTTTAATTTTTACTTAATCTTGTTGAACATTAAATGTGAATCTTAGAAATATAATGAAATAAAATTAAAGATGAATGTTATTTATTAATTATATGTGGCTTGAAATTTATATGTTTTACACATTTTGAATAAACTTAAATATTATGAACTTAATTATTAATTAATTCTTATTAATAAAATGAATTTTAACACGTTTTATATATATATATATATAAATATTATATAAAAAATAGAATAATCATAGTAAAAATAATATGCAAACTGTTTAATGGAATGCACGTAACTAATTAAATTACATTTTTTTAAAAAAAAATTTTTTTTTAATAATTTTTTTTGAATGGAAGGAAAAATATATATTATTTTTTTTTAAATTATATATTTTGAAAAATAATTATTGAAACACATTAATCCTTTAAAATAATTTAATTCATAATTCAGTGCAAAGAGAGGGTTAACTTCCAAGGCTAAATATTTAAGAGAATACCTTAATATTATATTTGAAAATATTATTGCATAAATAAATAAATTTTAACATTTTTTGTTTAATTATACTTGTTTTTGATAATATTTTATATAATTTCTTAATTGTTATAACACTTGATTTTCAAGGAAAAGAAATATTTATTTTTGATAAATTATTATTTTTTTTTGGAGTGATCACAGGTTTTATAAAAAGTGATAAATTAGTAGAAATAAAATTATCATAAATATAACTAATGAATTTTATATTAATAATTAGGTTTTATTAAAAATATGAATAATTCTTTATTAAATTTGATTGATACTTCTTATAAAATAATTAATATATTAAAAATAATAAAAATATTGAGCTAATATGTTTTTATTTAATGAATTATAAATGAAGTAATAAACAATTTATTTATTTTAAATTCGTTTATTTTATTTATCTATTATTAAAATAGCAAAAATAAAATATATTATTTATATTTAAGTTTAACTATCACAAAAATGAAGATAAATTTATTGTGATTCTGTGTAAATTCTATATTAAAATTTATTTTTCATTTATAGTTTTAATTGTTTTCCATATTAAATATAGTACTTTTAAAAGTAAAAAAGTTATTACATTTTTTATAACTATTATATCTTTTTTTTTTATAACGATGAATTTTTCATATAATTTATGTTTATTATAAAATCATTCATAAAAAAAATTAATATAAAATATATTTTTTTTTAAATTAATATTTATTTTATTAGATTTAATTGAAACAAATTAGGAACAATATGCATATATATGTTAATAAAAAAATTGATTGATATCTTTTTTATCCTTTTATTGCATGCATTTCTTAATATTTGCATGAAAGAAATGTAAATTTTTTAAAAAAATCAACTATGAATATAACAAAATTTAACTCTGATATATAAAATCATATTAAAATATTAAGACTAATTAACGATGTTGTTTATTGATCTCATGTAAATTTTTCAAGAAGATTGTTAATAAATTAATTTACATTTATTTAATAAAAAAGTTGAATAAATAAAATAAATTGTAATTTCAGTATATAAAAAATTACAGGTTCAAAATAATAATTAAAATGAGAAAATACAATATATAATTAGAACGTTATTATATGAGCTTTCTCTTCATTTATTAAATTTTACTTATAAATTAAAACATTAATTTATATTCTTATTTACCTAATTATATTTATTATTTTCACTCTAAAATAATTGAGTTTTTATTAGAATATATAAAATTTATAAGTAGAAAATATTATATATATGTATATTCATTCTTTTAATTTATTTATTTAAACTAAAAATAAAAAAATAATATTATAAACTTTATGGAAGACTAAAATAACATTGAATGAACATTTACAAAAAGTTAGAAACATTGAGAGATAAAAAAGAAAGAACAGTAGGAATAAAAAAAAAAAAATAAGATATAAAAGATATACTAATTCAATAGATAAGTGTATGAAAGATTTCAATAAAAAAAAGAATATCCTTTTCAATAAATCAAAAAGTAAGGACAATGATGAAAGTTCAAAAAATTTCATTAATCCTATTAGTTTTAAAAGGGGGATTCTAATAGATTTATATCATAATACCCTAATTGGAAATAATTCCACTTTTGTTGGAGATAATATAAAATTTCAGGCGATGAAAGACTTAATTACTATAAGTAAAAATTATTTTTAAAGAATTAAAGATAAGAAAAATTCTGGGGTAATGATATGGAATTCTAATTTTAGTAGAAAAAAAAATAGACAATTTTCTAAAATAATAAATAATAGCACACATTGTAAAAATTTCTATATATGGTATATTTAGAGGAAAATTAATTTTCAAAATCTTATTAAACATATAAGTATAACCTATGACTCTATTATTGAGAATATGAAAATATTAAATACTAAAAACCCACATAAAAATATTAGAAATTGTATTAATGTAGAATTAATGCTTCTAGAAACGAATGATAAAGAAAGTTGAATTAATAAACTTATTTTGGAAAGAGAAACTCTTAGTATAAAATTTGACATATACTTGGGTAGTACTATTGAATTTGTTATTTGGAATAAAGAGAAAAAAAAACGGTTTTATTAGTAAAAAGATATAGACAGTAAGAGATTCTAAATTTTATAAATATAGAGTTCCTTTAAAACAAATGCTGAGAAGTATAAAAAGGTTGATTCTTATTAAAATTTTTCACTATAATAATTCCATATATTTAACCCACTATATTTACTCCTATTTCATTATTATCTACTCCATTTACTTCATTTAGCCATTTATAATTTATCAACTACATCAACTTTATCAAAAATTTAATATTTTTCTACAATTAGTAATACTATATTTGTATTTAATAATAACAGTTAAATAACATCGAACACTTTAATGACTATTATTTATACTAACTCACTGATTAACAAAAGGAATTATTAACCTTTTTGAGAATGAACATAACTAGCTATACGAAAAATATACAGTTAGCCATACAAGTGCTAGATAAAAAAAAAATAAAGATTGAATGGTAGAAACAATAATGTTTGAAAAATATAAGTGATTTATAGACAAAAGAGTTTCTATTTAGCAAATTTTAATTTTGAATTTAAAGAAAAAATTTTATATAAATAATAATAAAATGTTCATGATTATAATTCTTACGTAATTTAATTTGTCTTTCATTAATTACTTATGTATATTAATTTGTGATCAATTAATTTGAATTGCTACATATTAAACATAACATTACAAATAAAATATATGTACATAGAATCAATAATTAAAGAAGATTTATATTTTTAATTAAAATAAGGATTTTTATTATAGTAAATAAGTTCCTCTTAAAAAAAAAGAATACTCAACGAAGCAGAATATTTATAATATAGTTTTCTTATTAAAAAAATTTTAAATTATACATAAATTAATTAAATCTATAGAGGAAACTCTACATGCTCTTTATTAATTTGTTTGTTCAGTCTTCTAGCAAAGTCACCGAATACACAGTTGATAAATCAGTAATCTACTTCATTCAACATTCTTTGATTTCAATAGGCATTTATTTACTTTAATAAAAATCCTTATTTTTATTAAAAATTTAAATCCTTATTGAACATTGATTATTAATTAAATGTAAATTACTTGTTTCTTTGTTATGATTTACGTTCAGCAATTAATATATATTGCTATTGAATTAACAAACATAAGCAATTAGTAACAATACAAAGAAAATTATATAAATATTAATTACATGAAAATTTTATTGTTATATGTAGAAAATTTTCTCTTACAAAATTCTTTAAAATCATCTTTCATTCCAAAAAAAAAAATTCTTTTTTTCTTTTTTTTTTTACCTTTTTTTTTATTTATTGGTAACAAATCTTTTTCCAATAGAATTTTTTTTTTATCAAATTATTTATTCTGACGATCTTTGTATTTTTTTTATATAAAAATATAAACAAAAAAAATTGATCATTTTTTTTTTTTTTTTTTGTGTGTGTATGACCAACTACGTATTCTTCATTTAATTAGTCCATTTATTTTCCAAAAAGGTTAATGAAGTCTTTTATTAACCATTTACAGAATGATAAAGTTCATTTTAGAGCAAAGCAGTTACAGGAAGTATAATTAAAAAGTATATAAAGAGATATATATATGAGAACACTTAAAATAACTTTTGCATGTATAGAAATAAAATACAAGATAATTTGTGGTTAAAAGAATATTTTATTAAATTTAGAAGAACTATATATAAAATAAGTTTCATTGTTAGCATATTTATAAAAAAACATTACGTATGCGTTTTTATTTTTAAAAAAAAAAATATTTTTTTTTTATTTTTTTTTTTGGGAAATAAATAAATATGATAATTTTTATGGTTCTATATGAAAAATTACAAATAAGTCTTAAAAAGAGTAAATATTATAACATATATGTTAAGTTTATTATGAATTGATAAATGTATAATAAGTATATAAATATCTATATAAGATAATTTTATAATTAAATGAATAAGTAGAAATCATTATACATACTCTCTATTGACAATTTAAAGCACTATGAAAGTATTTAAATAGAGTATTAATAGAAAATAATAAAATTGAACATAAAATTAAAAAACAAACAAAAAAAAAAAAAAATATATATTTAATTTATTTATTTTCTTTTATGTGTATTTAATATTATAAAAAAAAAAATTTTATAATTTTTTGGATTTTACTACTCAGACAACCTATGAAATTTTAATAAAAAGTAAATGGCAATAATTTTATTTTTTTTTTTTTATTTTTTAATAGAAAAAAAAAATTTCATCTTAAAAACAAGAATAATAATTTTTTTTTTTTTTTTTGGTGATGCAATGGATATTATTCTTTTTTACATGAAAGATTAAATAACATAACGTTAGATATTACATTTGTATTGTATAGATTAGCTAAAACAATTAATAATAGAGTTAAAATTTAATATGAGTTAATAAAAATAAATGATTAATGTAATGATTTATTTCATTCTAAATAAAATAATTATAGTTATCTCTAAACTCTATTTATTTAATTTATTTGTACCACATTAACAAATTTATTATACAAGAAATTAATAAATCAATATTCTAACAAAATTATTGAATGAGTAAATTAATGAATCAAATAACTATACATATAACAATGTTTAAGTTTATTTCTTAACAACCATCTAAAAAGTTCAATAATTCCATTTATCACTTCTAAATTTTTTTCTATTGTTTTACTTAATTTTCGAGTTTCTTTCCATCAAATTTTCTTTCCTATACCCTATTTATAAATTTTGCCTTTTTATTCATTATCTTTATTCTTCTATTAATAAATTCGTGTTGTAAAGCATCCTTCATTACTTTTTTCTAACCACCTTTTATGGATATCTTCACATTGTTTTTTCCATATAATTTTTTGCATTTCTAACATGGGATTTTTAATTACATCCTCATTCTTCTTTGCTATCATATCTTCATATATGTCTTTTATGTATGTTTTTTCCTTGTTATTCATTTCTAATATTAACTCTATAAACCATTTTTTCTTTTTCCATTTTTCTATTTCTACTTTTTCAATATCTAATATAGCATTCCTACTTCTTTTTTTTTTTATTTCCAATATGATAACATCTTCATCTAAATTTTCTTGTATTTTCAACTCTTCCATCATTGTTTTAAAAAAATATTCTTTTTCTTTTTGCCATTCGTCTTTCATACATTCTTCTAATAGTGTCATATGTATTTCAATCAAAACTTTTTGTATCAATTTTTCCTTTTTTTTATATTTCACTATTTCTTCATCTCCTTCTTGTTTCAATTCTACTATATTTTCATGAATTTCCTTCGTTTTTTTCGTATCCTTTTTAGTTATTCCTTCCTTAAGTTCTTCTTCTTTTTCGTATTCTACCAATAAATTGTTAAACCATTCCTCCTCGCTATGTTCTATAAACCGCATTCTTTGTTTTTTTAGCCATTGTTTCCATATTCTTTTTTGTTTTTCTAGCATAGGATTTTTGCCTGTTTCTATTTCAAAGATTTCTGATTCTTTTGTTAATTCCTCATATTTTTCTTGTTCTGTTCCCCATTCTTTTTTTAAATTAATAAACCACTCTTCTTTTTTCCATTTCTCTGACATTCTTTTGTTTCTTTCTACCCATTTTTTCCATAGATGTTTTTGTTTCTCTATCATTATTATACTAATGTCTTCTTCCTCTTTTCTCATCATTGCTAAATCATTTTCTATTATTTTTGGATATTTTTCTTTTTCTTCTTTTTTAAATTCTTCTAAACAAGTTTCTAAAAATTTTCCTCTATTCAATAACCACTCCTCTTTTCTACATTCCTCCAATATTACCATATATATTTCTATTAAAGTCTTCCATTTTAATTTTTTTTTGTTTATTATAGAATTATTCTCTTCAAATGATTCCTCTAAACTATTCCTTTCATATTTTCTCATTTTTTCTTCTCCCTTTTTATTAAACTCTGTTACTGATTCATCTCTTTCTATGGTTTTTACATCTTCTTTTTTTTCTTCTATACTATTTTTATAAATTGTACTTTTATATTCTTTCTCTTCATTTTCATATTCATTAACTAACTTTGTAAACCATTCTTCATTGTTGTCTTCTTCTTTCCACTTTTTACAAATATTTTCACAGTGTTTTTTCCATATATTGCTTTTTCTTTCTAAGACAACATCTATTATTCTTTCTTTATTCTTTTTTACTAAAATTTCTTCATTTGTCTCTATCATATATTTTTTTTCATTATTTTTCCATTCTAACATTAACTCAATAAACCATTTTTCTTTTTTCCATTCTTCCATTTCCTCTTTTTTTTTCTCTGACATAACATTCAAACTTCTTTCTTTTTCCATTTTTTCTAATATGTTTGTTTCTTCATCCAAATTTTTATATTTTCTTATCTTTATTATGTTTGTTTTATAAAATCCTTCTTCTTTTTCCCACTCTTCTTTCATACATTCCTCTAATACCATCATATGAATATCTAACAAAATTCTCCTTTCCAAATTTTTTTTCATTTCACAATTATCTATTCCATTATCTCTTTCTTTCTCTATATTTTCTTCCTTTAAATTTTCATGAATTTCTTCTTGTTCATATTCTTCTAACAATTTTACAAACCATTTCTGTTTTTTGTATTCGTATGAAAGCTCTCTTTGCCTTTCTATCCATATCTTCCATATATTTTTTTTTTTACCTAGAATAAAATTATTTAATCCCATTTCTGTCATTTTTTTAATTTCATGTTCTTCTAAATATTTTAAGTATTTTTCTTGTTCTTGTTTCCATTCTTTCTTCAAATTAATAAACCACTTTTCATTTTTATATTTCTCTAATATACTACTATTTTTTTCCATTGTAACGGTACTATTTTCTCCTTTTATTTTCATTACAAAATTATTTCCCATTTCTTTTAAATTAGAATTTTCTCTATCTTTTTCGAACTCTTCTAAGCAAATATTAAAAAATTCGGTTTTATTCAATTTCCATTCCTCTTTTCTACACTGTAGTAATGCAGTCATATGTATATCTACCCATGAATTCCAATTACATACTTCATCATTAATTGATCTTTTACTTTCTAAATTTTTCATTTCATTTTCACATTCATATTTTTCTTTTATTACATATATTTCATTGGTTTCTTCCTCACTTAATGTATTTTCCATAATATACTCTACATTATGAGCTGTATTTTTTCCTAATATATTTTTATTCAACTTTTCTTTTTTTATTTTATTTCTAGATTTATTTACATTCAATTCAATTTCATCAATTTCATTTCTTGGATTATCTTCATTTAATTTTTCTCCCAATATAAATTCATTTTCATGCTTCTTTGATACTTCTACAACTTCACGAATGCATTTATTTTCATTTTCCATATACATTCCTTCATGAGGTTTAGATTTCTTCATTTCTTCATACTTCATATCTTTTTCATTTTCCATATGCATTCCTTTATGTGCTTTGGATTTCTTCACTTGTTTATACTTCAAATCTTTTTCATTTTCCATATACATTCCTTTATGTGCTTTGGATTTCTTCACCTGTTTATACTTCAAATCTTTTCGATTTTTCAAACTCATATCACATAGTGGTATTTCTTTTTCATGGTGTAAGAATGAATAATTTTCATTATTTATTGGTTCATTCTCTATATTATTTGTATCCATTAACAACGGTTCCCTTGTTATTTTCTTAATCTTTTTTCTTGCTTTTTTTTTTTTTGACTTCCTATTACGAAGCCAAGATCCAATGGGAGTATACTATAATTGAAATTAAAAAATAAAATATTATAAAAATTCTTCATTAATGTAATTATGATTTTAAATATATAAGTTTTTTAATTTTTAAATGTTAATTTAATCATACTTTACAAAGAAGAACTAAAAGAAAAATAATTCCAAAAATAAATATACCTCCAGAAACCATTGGTATTAATAAATTATCTGTAGGTGTAACTGTAGGCATAACATCGGTGGGGTTATTTGATGAGGATGGCGTCAATAAACTATTTGAAACAGTCGCATTTGGACTTATTGAAACATTTCCAGTATTATTTTCAAGTAAATATTGTTGAGCCAGTTTAAGAGGGGCATGTGTATTTTGTTGGTTCTCCAGTTGGATACTATCTGTCTGATTTGAAGGTAAATTGTTATTTGTTGTAGGAAAAAAAGCAGCCTTTGTTGTGAGAATAGATGTATTATCAGAGGAATACAAAAGTGGAGTTGGAGATATAATATCAGACATAAGAGATGTAGTGTTAATTGCTGGAGATATAAGGTCAGTTTCAGGAGATGCAATTTTATTTGTAAATGGTTCAATGGTAGTAGTAGAATTTTCAATGGTATTTGTCAAAAAAGGTGATGAACTATGTGTTAAAGGTGAAGTTGCAGTTTTATGAGTAACATCATTAGTAGGATGAATAGACATATCATTTGTAGGTGATATAGGATTATTTGTGGAAGGCAAAGTGGTGATCGTAGGAGTAGGTGAAAGTAGTGGAGGTGTAGAGCTATATGTAGGAGTTCTAGTTATTGTTGTAAGAGAAGGTTCAACCTCAGGAGAAGAAGAATCAATTGTAGGAGATTCAGTGCTATTTGTAGGTATAATCTTATTTACAGAAGTTGCACTTTCAGGAGGTAAAGATGCAGTTGTAAGAGGTGGAGTGATAGTACTAGAAGGTGCAATATTATTTGTAAATGATTTAACAGCAGTAATAGGATATTCAATAGTAGCTGTAGAAGACATATCTCCATAGGAAGATGTATCTGTAGGTGTGCAATTATTTATAGTAGAATGTGAAGGTAATGTTTTAGATGTAAGAGATGTTAAAGTCTCAGAAAAAGGTGAAGATGAGGTTGTGTGTGATATAGTATTAGTAATGGAATGCATTGTATCATTTGGAGTTAATGAATTAAAATGTATTGAGTCTATTGGAGAAATTGTGGTTGAAGTTTTTGGGTCATTCTGATCTGTAGTAACTGATGGTACTGAGGTAGCCCTTGTATTTTCAGAGGCATTGGTACCATTTTTGTTATTATTAATACTCTTTTTATTATCTGATAAATTTGTAGTAGTAGCATCAAGTAATACATTAGGAGTTACAATTGTAGGTTGTAAGTTATCTGGTAATTCAGTTGTATTATCTATAGTTTCATTAGGTTCATTGTGATTCTTTTTTGATAAAAGCCAAGGTAAATCATATGGATTATTTGATTTTTGTTGCTCTCTAATTTGATAAATAAATTTTGTCATATTACATTGATTTTTAGTATCCTCTAAAACAGTAGTTTCTAATTGGATACTATGATCATTCCATATTCTAATAGAATCATTTATATATCTTTCATCATCATAAAATTCACTGGCGAACATTTTAACAAATTGCATTCCTCTTTTATATATATACATACTCCACTTTCCACAATTAAGTTCAGAATTGTCATTTTCATACATTCTGTAATAGTAATCAGATATAAAATTAGTAATATTATGAAAACTACTCTGTCTATCTTCAATAATTTGAGTTTTATTAGTACTATAAGTATCTTCACTGAGTTTATCGTATGTTAATAATGTGCTTACTCGTAGATCATTATATTCATAAGGTCTATTGCATTTATCATTTTTATTCAAGATAGCACAATAATCAAACTTTGTTGTACTACACGTTGAATTTGTTTTTTCAGCTATACTTGTTTCAAAAGATTTTTGTTTCTCATTCCATTTTTCAACAACACAGGAGATATTATAATTTTCTTTTTCACTTAATAGTAAATTAACATAATCCATTCCTCTCCAATTTATGTATGTGGATGCCTTTTGACATTTTTCTGTGTCATTAGTAATTTTATCGTCTTGAAGATAAAATTGAAGTTCATTACCAGTATCATCCATAAATGATTTAATTTCTGTATTGATCTTAATTGTATCATTAGATAAATTAACATTGTTTTCTATTGTAATTTTTGTTTGATTTGACATGCAGGAATTTTCTTCTAATTCTGATAATAATCTTGCATTTTTTGAGGTTAAGTTTTTTTTCATGGCTCTTATTTCACAACAAGGTTTTCCAAAAATATTCTGTAATAACATTAAAAAATTCATTTATTAAGAAAAATAAATTTATATATCAATAACATATAAAACCAAAAATTTGAGGAAGAGAAAAAGGTAATATATATAATAAACATTTATTTTACATTTAAATTTTATCATACATTAAAAAGGTATTCAATAATCCAATTAGAGAAAAATAATATAATTTGACTAAAGAATTGAATACTACTATTTTTGTTATTTCGCATTACTATTGTATGCATAAATCACCTCAGGAAACTGTTATAATTTCTATATAAAAATGACAACACTTGTTCTTACGTAAAAACTATATCATAAATTTGTTTATATGTTAAAATGTCATTTTATGTAATATAAAATAATAATTCGCAGCTGAAGAAATTTTTTATTTGCTATTTATGTAAAATATTAAATTATTGTAATTTTCATATAATAATGATGTAATTAATTTTTAAAAAAAATGAAATATTGTGATAAATAAATTAAAAACTTAATTTATAAGATTAACATTAAGAATATAAAAAAGAAAAAAAATATTAAAGTAAAGCATTATATTATACTATGAAATTTATATGAAAAAAAGAAATCATGTTAAGGATTTTTTATGAATTTTCTTAAATTTTTTATATAATTATATGAATATAAATATAAGTTAGAAATAATGATACAATTATTTAAATTTAATATTTTGAATAAAAAATTTAATTATTATATAATATTTATGTAGAAAATTTTTTTGAAAATCAAATTTGAACAGTTGAAGAAGTAAAATTTTATATGTAGTATGTGGAATTTATATATAAATAAAATAATGTACATAATAATTTATAATTATTTTTTTAAAGGATCTAATTGATACTTTCATAAAATATATAAATAAGCAAAAAAAAAAATAAATAAAATATATATATGTAAATTCTAAAATAAGCAACTACAATATACTATTTTAGCTGTTTATATATATTTTAATAAATAAATTATATCATGTTTAATAGAAGAAATATTTAAAATTATGAGAAGCTACATTATTTATTGTTAAATTATTAAATTTTAAACACTGATCAAACTACTCTAATTTTCTTTATTTTAATATTTAAATATTAGTGATAAATAAGTGCACTATAATTTAGTTTTATTTGTATAGAAATATATGTATTAAAAAAAAAAAAAAAAAATCACTTTATGTTAGTGGGTAATGCACTTTATTTTTTTAGTTAAAATTATATTGAACTTTTTATTTTTTTTTATTAATTTTTATTTGGTAAATACATATATATCAAACATTATTTAAGGAAATATTTTTTATTATTTTAGAATTTATTATTATAAACAAAAAGAAACACAAATTATTATATGGTTATTTTTTTTACAATTTTTTCTCATAATCTTTTTATAAGATTAAAATGACAATAGTTTACAAACAAAAATTTTTTAGAAAAAAGATATTTATATCTAAAAAAAAAGATGAGTGAAAATATGAGTCGAATTTAAGGGACTGATTGATTTTTCTTTATAAAAAAAAAATAAATAAAAACAAATAAAGAAAAATAAAATTCATTATTTTATTCAATTTTTTTTTTTCTTTTTATATATTTGTGCTCTTACAAGATAAATTACAATAAATAATTTACTGATAAAATCCGTGAAAAAAGTAAATTTATTTTATTTTTATTAGTATTTTATTTGATTTTCACGAAGGTTTATTATTTTTTTTAAGGGAATATTAAAGATGAAACATATTTTTTTATGAATATTTATAATTATATTTATAAATTTTAATTATTAAAAATTTAATAATTATTTAAAATTTTTCATAATTTTTGTTATTTTTATTTATTTATATTATTGGGTTGATATTACGATTAAGAATTGAATAAGTATATTAAAAATAAAGAGAAGTAAAAGATAAGTTTACTTTATGAATTTTAAGACATGGTATAAATTTTATAAAAATATTATTGTTGAATTTTATAATATTTATTTTGAATATGCATGTTGTGAGGAAAAGGATGAAGGTTATGTTAATTGGATATAAATTTATTAAAACTATAATTATTGGTCTTTTTTTGATTTAAATTTTTTGTAACTTTATTTGTTGACTATGGATTAATTAAATTCTGGTTATCGTTATATATTTAGTACTTATTTTTAAGATTATTTATTTTAAAGTAAACAATTTTATTTTTATTTATTATACATTTGTGCATGTTTTATTAACTGGGTGTTCGGTGACTTTATTAGAGTACTGAACAAACAAATTATTAAAGAGCATGTAAAGTTGCCTCTACGGTTTTGATGCATTTTTATATATTTTATATGCTTTGAATGAGTGATCCTTATTTACGTAATCTACTTCATTCAGCATTCTTTAATTTCAATAGGCATTTATTTACTTTAATAAAAATCTTTACTCTTATTAAAAATTTAAATCCTTATTGAACATTAATTATTAATTTATTGTAAATTACTAGATTATTTATTATAAGTTACATTCAGCAATTAATATATATTTCTGTTGAATTAACAAATATAATCAATTATTTACAAATATTAAAAATTATACAAATATTAATTACATGAAAATTATATTGTTATATGTATAAAATTTTCTTTTACAAAATTCATCACAAAAATTATTTAATTTCCTTCCCCAAAAAAAGAAATTCTTTTTTTCTTTTTTTTTTTTATTTTATTTATTGGTAGCAAATATTGTTCTAATTGATTTTTTTAATTATTTTTTTTCCTGAGGATCTTTGCATTTTTTTATCAAATTTTATTCATGGAAGTCTTTATACTTTTTTTTTAAAAAAAAGTACAAATAAAAAAAAAATTGAAGATTTTTTTTTTATATGTATGTGCATGACCAACTTCGTATTCTTCATTTAACTAGTCCTTTTATTTTCCAAAAAGGTTAATAAAGCCTTTTATTAACCATACTCCACCACCATGGGAAAGTAATGGTTATTACTTAAAGTTTGTTATTTTTGTATTGTTTTATTACATCAATTCCTTTCTGTACTCCTTTTTCAATTTAATTGTCCTGATTATAGTTGATATCACACGTTATGATACTACTCCTTTTATGACTATCTAGGTAATCCTTAGACTTTAAACTATTCGTCAGATTTAATTTCCTTTTATTCTTATTCGTAAATTGTATTAAATTGTGCAGTTGCCTTTCATATATTTCCCTGGTTTTGTTACTCAACAATTTTATTTTTCACATTGGAATTTGTACTTCTTTACTTCTATAATATATAAGTAATGCTTTCAGAATTCCGCTTTAAATTTTAGTTACTCTATGAGGAAATGACCAATATGGTTTATATTGTATATTTCCACTATGGTGTTTCATTTGATTCCTTTCTTATTTCTATAATTCGTATGAGATAATATCTCAAACCTTAATATTTTTACTTTCAATTATAGGTTTTCTTTTGATTTCGTTAACATCTTCATACATGTTTTTCCATCAATCGTTTAAATATATAATCCTCATTTCAGAAGTTGTTTCCGGTACTAATTTTGCAAACCTTCGACAGATACAATCTATTCGAAACATAGCAAAATAGGGTGTTTCTTCTATAGCTCCATGTGATGTATTATTATATATTAGTACTGCATTTTGTACTATTTCTTCAAAAGGTAGATCTTTTTCTTCATATAAAGTCTTCATTATATAATCTAAGCTTTTATGAGAACTTTCATTTATACCGTTTCCTTGTGGATAATATGCGCTAGTACGATATAATTTAACCTGTATTTCTTTTGTAACATAGTCATGAAATTCTTGACTAGTATAAATTGAACCGCGATATGTTAAAATGCTTCCAGGGTATCCAAATATGGGTATCCATGTTTTCTCTATAATGTTAATTGCATGCATAGCATTAGGTGTTTTATTAGTTATGTTCGTCACCATAAAACGCGAATGATGATCTATTGCTACTTGTATAAAGTATTCTGTACATTTCCATGTTTTAGGTCCCATAATATCTAATGAAACCATATCAAATACATTCGGTTCTGATAAAGCTTGGTTATTATTAGGTTTAAATTTCCTATTACTTATTACTTGACAAACTAAACAATTTGTGACCTATTCTTCAATATCTTTACTAATATTGGAACACCAAAAATGTTTTTGTATTTTCTTTAGTGTTTTATTGACTCCACAATGTTTTGCGAATTTACTACTATGAAACCAATACATTAAATGATTTCTATATTTTTCTGATATATATAATCTTCCTGTTCTATAGTGAACTGGGAAATCATCCTTCAATACTACGTCTCTTGGTATGTTACCTATATCTTTTCTAGCTTCATTTGCTATTTCCTCGCAAGAAGGTATCACATATAAATCTTTATATACTTCTTGAGGTTTACTACAATATAAGGTCATGTAATTAGGAAGATCTGTTTTATCTTCTATTTATATAGTGATCCAATCACCTAAACTATTTTGAACTCCTTCAATATGTTCAAATTCTAAGTTAAATTCAGATAGTCTTAACTTCTATCGATATAGTTTTACAGTATTAATTGAATCCATTCCAATAATAACTTTACGATATGTTTTAATTAAGGTCTTAGATCCTTTAATATAATAATAGAATGTTTCGCATGCTACTACTATAGCCAATAATTCTTTTTCAACCGTACTCCTTCTTTGTTGTATTTCATTTAAATTCTTCGATATGTAATGAATGGATTTAGTTTGATCTGTGTCTTTATTAATTTGAGTCAATACAGCTCCTATAGCATAATCTAATGCGTCAGTTTAAATAGTATAGGGTTTTCCTAATTCTGGAAATGGAAGATAAGTAATTTCCGTCATTTTATTCTTGATTTGCTCCAAAGCCTTTGAATACCCTTCTTTCCATTCAAATTTCTGTTTCTTAGTTAACAATGGAACTAGTTTAGAAGTTCACTCTTAAAAGTTCTTCATATAATTCCTGTAATAA